AAAATAATACCCAAATACCACGATGCAATGCTCCACCACGAGAATGTGACAAAATACCTGAATTGAATACCAACTTTCGTTGTGAATGGACGGATTGTGAACGCACCTTTATATCGATTGTAGAATTTCAAGACCACATTGTACAGCATGCTTCTTTTGAATATGAGATACAAAAATCGCCCGATGACGAGAGGCCTAAAATACAGTGTAATTGGAATTTTTGCAAAAAACAAATGGACAATAAATATCGGCTAATCGAACATATACGCACACACTCGAACAAAAAACAAGTGGCCTGTTTTCATTGTGGTGAATTATTTAGGACAAAGACTACACTGTTTGATCATCTTAGACGTCAACCAGATAATAATAGTAAGTAGAACAATCTAGGGTTGTTTATTCTATGTTAAAATTTGTTTTTGTTTTTAGTTTAGAGGAGAGTCAACATAGTATTGATTTTTTCCTTAATTTTCATCTTGTGATGATTAATTTTTTTCTTTTTCTGAACTTTTTAGCTCAAAAATACCAATGTGCCCAATGTTTTAAATATTTTGCTACTGAAAAGTTATTACGTTCTCATATGATTAAACATGTCAATTGTTTCAAATGCAGCATGTGTGATATGACTTGTTCTTCCGCCAGTGCTTTAGCCACCCATGTACGTTACCGTCATCTTAAGGATAAACCTTTTAAGTGTGTGGAATGTGAATATCGTTGTGTCCGAGAGTCAGATCTTAATCAACATGTTCAGCTGGTGCATAGTCAGGAGGTGCACCGTTGTGAGGAACCGGGTTGTACTTATGCTGTTAAAACATTTCAGGCTTTAAGAAGAGTAAGTTGTTGTAGTTATGTATTGATTTATGCTAAAAGAAGGAATAACTACTTTATTAATGAAAATGTTTAGTTTTGAAATTAATCCTTGACAAATGTTCAGATTTAAAGTGAGTAATGTGTGTATGTTTTTTAAATTACCCTTTTTAGGCTTTGAATTATGACGTAATGCAAATGAACTATATCTCCAACAATCGATAAGATACAATGCAAATTTTACATTAGATAATACAAGCAATTACTGCTTGTAAATGCTTTCTCCTTTTCAAAATTTAAATATAATTATTGATTTTTAAACTAAACCCTGTAAACCAAACTAATATTATCTCAAAAATATTAAAGGAGATAGTTAGATTTAATTTTAATTTAAAGTTTTAATACATTTATTAAACTCGGAGAAGTGCTACCAATATACTTCTCTTTAAAAATTAAATGTTTGAAAGAAAATGTAAACGAACCATATTTTCTGAGGAAATAACGTTGCATTATCCGAGATTTTTATCAGGGAAGAGCTAGAACGAAAGCAGAACTGTTAAAACAAAAGATTTGTAACATATTTGTTCCTATCGATATTCTCACCAATCAGCTATTTGGATGAAGCACTGTTGTCGTCAGATTTATAGAATCTGCTGCTAAATCCTTCTATAAGTTGAGAACTGCTTGAATCGCCGGCATTAGTATGATAAAGAAATTTAGATAGATAGATAGATAGATAGATAGATAGATAGATAGATAGATAGATAGATAGATAGATAGATAGATAGATAGATAGATAGATAGATAGATAGATAGATAGATAGATAGATAGATAGATAGATAGAATAGATAGATAGATAGATAGATAGATAGATAGATAGATAGATAGATAGATAGATAGATAGATAGATAGATAGATAGATAGATAGATAGATAGATAGATAGATAGATAGATAGATAGATAGATAGATAGATAGATAGATAGATAGATAGATAGATAGATAGATAGATAGATAGATAGATAGATAGATAGATAGATAGATAGATAGATAGATAGATAGATAGATAGATAGATAGATATATAGATATATAGATAGATAGATAGATAGATAGATAGATAGATAGATAGATAGATAGATAGATAGATAGATAGATAGATAGATAGATAGATAGATAGATAGATAGATAGATAGATAGATAGATAGATAGATAGATAGATAGATAGATAGATAGATACATAGATAGATACATAGATAGATAGATAGATAGATAGATAGATAGATAGATAGATAGATAGATAGATAGATAGATAGATAGATAGATAGATAGATAGATAGATAGATAGATACATAGATAGATACATAGATAGATAGTTTGCCATTTCAAGTATCCATAAACGACGAATATAATTCGGTGTATTTATTATATGACGGTCGTGACCTAACTCAGGAGAAACACCAATGCAGCTTAATATAACCAACGCTGACTTTTACACAATGTGATATACCATATCAATGAATTTATCAAATTTCCGTTTGAAGTGTACAAAATTCAGACAAATAAAATTTTAGTGAATTTCTAGTAGTTTTGTTATTACGGAAGTTGAGCGGAAGTACAGTTTAGGTTAAACGATAAGAAACATTTGAAATACATACATATTTATTTTCTTTAAGTAACAACATTAATAAAATTCATGTAATTTTTAAAACAAATATAATCTCTATTATTTTCTAGCACTATTTGGAGATTCACAAAAATACAACATTTATCTACATATGTCATTGTTGCGATAAACCATTTAAGAATGGCAAAACTTTATCTTCGCATTTAATTAAAAAACATGACTTTCAACTACCATCCGGTCATCGTCGTTTTACCTATCGTATTGATGAAAATGGATTTTATCGTTTAGAAACCACACGTATCGAAAGTCTGGAGGTGACTGAACAAATATTAACACCAAACTCATTTGAAACAACAACTGAAATTACCCAGGATAGCAGTTGTTATGAAATTATTTCGAAAACCAACAAACAAGATGCCGCCCAACGTATTATTGTATCGAATGATAGCAATGATAATAAACTTATAGGTGAAGTTGTTATATCTCTACCCTGTTTGGATTGATTTATAGCTACAACTGCAGAAAATTCATTCTTTAGGCTGTTTTAAATATTAAACAATTTCTTATTTTTCTTAATTATTTTTTTCTAGTTATTAAAATTAAAAGTTATAAAGTTCGAATCAATTAAATCATATTATTAGTAACCATAACATATATACTACCAACATACATATAAAAATCTTTAATCATTTTAGAAAGAGAGTTAGTTAAATTATAAGCAATTTTTAAGCTACACATATGAATGATATGTTATCATCATATCGAAACCAAAATACTATTTAAAATTACTAATATTTAAAAAAAAAAGAAACGTTTTAGTTTGCCATTTATATTATCTTTAATTTAGTACTACATACAGACATTTAAACATGTGTTTTCAACGTGTTATGCCGCAACCAACCACCATTATATTAATTTTATTCTCCAACTAAACCAAATTTCTTTTTTATTTAAGTCATTTTGTTACGTGTGATGCTCATATATTTTAATTTTATTTCTTAAAGTTTTATTTTTTCCATTTTTTGTTAATTTGACTATTGGCAAAAATCCTAGAATAAGTTTAATGACAATATTATACATATATTATTAATATGAATTACAAGTCTGGTAAAATGTTAAAAATAACTTAAAAAACCAGATGGCATTGAATAATCAAATATAAATATGAAATATAAATTAATTTAATAAAACATAAATGATTAAATTTTATTAGTGGGATTATGAAAATCGAACTTCCATTATTACGTTAGTATTTTTTTTTAATTATTTTGATAAAAATACGATATTCGAAAAATGTTTTTAAAAAAGGTGTTTTTAAAATACTTTTATTGCAATTTTTGTATTCCAGAAACAGAACTGTTAGTTATCGAAAATATTTCTCCACAAAATTAATGTTATCGATACATTTTCTATAGAAAGTTGTAATCGATAAACTAATAGAAAATTCCTGTTATCGAACTGTACAAGATTTAATCTTTTATCGAAAAGTTTTCTACAGAATTTTCTGTATAAAATTTTGTTGATAAATTTTCAAGGAAAAGTTAAATTTATTGAATAATTTTTAATATAACATTAACGTTATAGAAATATTTTTAACAGAAAATTAAAGTTATCGATACATTTTTCTAAAAAATTTAAGTTATCGACAATTTGCTTATACAAAATTAATGTTATCGATAAATTTTCTATTTGAAATTAAAGTTATTGACAACTGTTCAGTAAAAAGTTAAATTTATTGAACAATGTGTATCGAAGAATGCTGATGTGGATCCGTAGGGTCGTCTAAAAAACTTTACTTTTTATTTTGTTTTATTAATTTTATACTTTTATACCCTACATCAATGTAGTGGCTGGGCATTATACGTTAGTTTTGATGTTTGTAACGTACAAAAACATTAATCCTATTACCCATCTTAAGGTATAGCAATCGGTTTATAATAATTTTCTGAGTCGATTAAGTCATGTCCATCTAATCTCCCCTATTCTGCATTTCGATTACGTTTACGCATTCAGTTACGCAACGATCGAAAAAAGGTATTCCAACAAAAAACTGAATCGTAAGAAAAAGAAGAAGCAATTCTATTTCATTTCAATGCTTTGCGAATGTGTGTATTCTATTCTATCGTACCTACGTTTTTGTAAGTTGTTGTTTATGTGGCGGAGAGACGAATCGAAATGCAGAATACTAAAGTTGCCAAACGGAGAAAATTTCGATTCGAATTGAAATGCAGAATAGGGGCCAATATTAGTATATATTTGAAATTTCATAAAATTTGTATGTGTCCATATTTCACTCTAGCCCCCAAACAAAGTCCCTTTTAGAAAATCGTCATAAATATATTGGAATTATAAACAATGAAATCGTTATATAGTATCAAAACATTTTAAATATATTCATAACTGGTGGTCGATAATGACCTACTATACTTTCTTACTTGTTTTATGGATCCGATTTCAAATTTGAATCAGAAAATTCTGCTACATACTTATGTATATGACACATTGATACACATAAATGTTCACTTATACCCAAATTATCTTTAAAAATACAACATTTTTAGAAAAATTATATAACATTTTCGGGGATTTATTTATTAACAAACATTTTAACTCAAAAAATAAAATACATATTTGTATATGTAAATAAACAAAGTATTTAGGGCTAGTTATTTTTTGTAATAATTAATTATCATTGGTTTAAAGTGCCATGCACATTATGACGGATTTAACAAGCGATGCTGCTTTTCAGTACTATTTTAAAAAATTGAGCAGCTTTGCTACTAGCATTGTCAAATTGTTTAATTTCAAAACTATGGAATTTATGAAAAGTAAAAGAAAAAGGAATTTAATTTAAATAAAAATATAGAAATAAATTAAAAGATGAGAGTAACTTTTGCAAAAATACAATTGTTAGTGGTTATTTCGTTTCTAAAAGTAAATAAAAACTACATAAAGTTGTTAAATATTAGAAATGCCTATCCTAGTGACTAAATTTGTAGAAAAGTCTACTTCGTGTTAATATTATGTAAATAATGTAAACTCTGTAAAACACAAGCAAATTGTTATCTAATGCTCACAATTTCCTAGGTAAATATTGTAAAGTCTTACTTTAAATCAGCCTTTATAAATATGACAACCTATTGTGGTAATTTGTAATATGATTCGAAAAGAAAATCGTTTGAATTTTGCTTTTTATATTTCTATTAATTTCTAATGTTTTCTTTCGAATTTACCCAATTAATCCCCTGATTTTTAAATTATTATTTGGATAACACAGGCCAACACAATTTTAACCCAGATACGAATCTGGTCTCCCAATTTTGGAGATATTATTTTCCTAGATATCTTTGAGATATCTTAACATGAAGATTGAAACCAACAAAAACTGACTAAATTTTAAGTCTTTGTCATAAATTCTGAAGATTTTCCCATAAAAATACTTTGTTTTAAACTCGACAGGTCAAATATGGCCAAAAACGGAGTGTTCTTATAACCATCAATCAAAAAATGTACAAATGTTTAATTTGACTACTGGTTCTCTACTTTTTTTTAGTTTTTGTCGGCCTGTGTAATATCAATGCTGCTCATACAAAAATAAACTAAACTGAAAAACAGCATTTCAAAATTTATAATAAACTATGGAATTTCCCTTAAAACTAGCCCTCTTAAGAAATAATTACACTATATAAAAAAAGTTAAATATTGCCACTGTTACAATGCGTTTACATATTTGTCCAAAAGTTGATGATACGTCAGTTTGTTGCCTGTGTTTTCATTATTTACACCGGTGTCCAACTTCTTCGCTCTTTCGAATGCCTCTATAATACAAGATCGAAAAAGTTTCTGATACAAAACATAAGCGCTCACGTGACCAGCATCTAAATAACGAATTTCTGCACCCGGCCATATATCCTCTAAACCCGTACAACCTTCGCGCGGCACATAAGCATCATCTTTGGCACAAACGGCAATTGTTAGAGAAGTTTCTTTGGGCACGGAAAAATTTTTCAGATGCGTGCATTCATCCATCATGCCACGCATAAACTGTAAGGCTTCACGTTCCCACCAATTGGTTTTTGTTATATTTATTTTATTATCATTACTAGTCGTGGGTAGTATGTATTTCATTAGTCTAGTTAAAGAGTGATTATCTTCAGGAGTATTTTTCGTGCTCGGTAATTTGTTTGATTTTGAGTTTTTTATATCTTTCTCTAGTTCAATCATAGATTCGCTGAAATTGCGTATAAATTTTTGTCCTGCCATAAAGGCATCATCAATGACCGTGACCATTTTTGATAATCGCTCACAGTATTTGCCATCGGAATAGTATTGGGTCTCCAGCATATCCCAATTAATCGATTGGCTCATAACCCCCGTGGTAAAAACTGTGGCAGCTGTAGACCACGAAAGACAAGGCACTAGTACTAAAGGTTTCGGCCAATTAGTAGCAGCTAAAGAGGCCATATGTCCTCCCATTGACAAACCTGTTATACCCAAGGGCCCAAAACCGTTACGTTCACACCAATGTAGTAAGACCAAGCATTCTAGTATAAGACAACCGCCCATTACAAATATATCCGAAACATTATGAAGATTAGAACGTACTTGATTGTCCGGTTTGCGGGTACCATAAAATGGATTTTCCAATATTATGGAACCAATGTTTCCCTCCTTTAACAAAGGTTTTGCTATTAAATTACGCCGTCTCCAAAAGAAATGATCACCAGTTCCTGCCAAGTGTATGCACATTGGTTGATGCCTATCCTGCCAATGATTAGGTAAAACAACTTGGAAATGAGCGGTCTGTGCTGCCTTAGGCACTATACCTGGTAGATGTAATTCTAAAGGAGTAAGGAAATTTCCTTCCAATACCACACAGTCGGGATATCTCTCTTCTTTGACAATTTGTACTGGGTAATCTTTGGGTACTAAAGGAAAACACGTATCACGACGCGAAATAATTTTGCGAAATTGAAAAAGTTTTTGTAAATTTTCCGGTTTACCCCATCCTCTTTCAAAGAAACGGGTTATTAACATACGGCGGTAAATACTATCTAATTTACTGGGAGGCATTATTATTATTTGTTTCCCGTTAATATTATATAAATTGTTTTTGCGGAGGCAATTTGTATTTCCAAACCCAGACAATAACGTACGCGTGTGAAGTAAACAAACTTTTTGCAACGAAATTCTTTTCCATTAAATACGAAAATTTGGCATAATTTTAGACTTCAAACAATAATTTGATAACTAATTTACGCCGAGCACATAACCCCGGTTTAGAATGACATATTGAAAAATCAATTTTAAAAATTTTAGTTTTTTAAGCAAAATCTTAAATATTTACATATGGACCTGTTGTGGCCAATAACATTTATATACAACACTGTCTTGAATACATTTTAGTGTAACCCTGGGAAAGATAAAGAGAAAAATTGCAATAAATGAAAGTGCAAAATAGAATGATAAAAATAAACAGAATAATAACATGAAGGTCATGTTCGATCTTATGAAGCCCTACATCTTGTAGCTAATTTATGCAAAATATATTTTATTTACTGATTGATTGAAATCGAAAATAAGAGTTGATATTTTAGCAAATCATAATTTGTTTTATATGCTTTATATTTTTAATCTAACATTCCGAAGAATACACGGATTTGTGTAATTTATTAAAAAAAAATATTTTGAATTGCAGAATCTGTGTGAAAACGGAAAAAGTTGTACATTTTATCCAATTCTGAACATGAACATCATTTACGAAAAACTTAAATTAATGTAAAGTAAGAACAGATCGTACCAACTATAAGGTTTCAACTACTGATCGCACAGTTGTAAATCAACTTAAATCACTGTGTTTAAAAAAACACAACAAAAATAAGATTTGATAGTTTAACAAGTCGTTTTCATTTAAAACCTATTAGTTATTAAATTAATAACAACATTTTGATTAAATAAATTAATTTTAAAATTTATTTTGTCACAATTACTTAAGAATCTCTTTAGATTATTTCAATACCGAATATTTTTGCATTTAAATTACAAAATTATATGTTAAAAAGTAAACTTAAAATATATATTTATGTATGTAGTATACATTAGAGTTACAATATAACACCAAACATATAAAGGAATTATAATTATTATATTCATTATATTAGAAAAAATTATAATAAAACATACATATAGATTTAACTAGTAATATTAGAAAACATTAAAATAACAAATAAAAATTTTACAAGTGTATATTTAAACTATTTTAGTTGCAGTGTAATAAACACAATGGGCCGGTTTTATTGAGACGAAATGATTTTATTTCAAAACTTAAATACCATTTCGCTATTTAGTCTAAAGTCTGAAACCAGCCCTAACAAATCAAAATCATTTCATTCAGTTTATTTATCATATATTGACGACATTCTTTAGATCGTTGGGAAGCAATTCTTTCATACAATTAATCTGAGCAAGTATTTGATCACGGGTGTTAGTTGCTGTATTGCCATTACTACTAATCCAATTTCCTGTAGTTTCATTAGCCAATTTATCATTGTAGAGATTCAGTTTTTGTTTAAGTTTTAAAATCATGTCAATTATTTCCACTTCCTGTTTATCACGAGCCCATTGTTCTAAGTTGGCTTCGGATAGTGCCTGCAGCTGTAAATCCTGTAAGGTAAGTTGTAGCTCCTTGTGGCGTGAATCATACCAACCACGAAAATTGGGTGAATTATAGAAACGTCGGTATAGACCCTTCCAATCGCCCTTTAGAGGTGATGTTAAATGTGGACCCGAAAGTTCTAGAGTGGCAAGAAAATCTTCAAGTTTAAAAGCATTTGCATTTGGTGCGGATTTAAATGGACTTATATCTTTTTGTAGCGGCATTAATGATGCCATATAACGTTCCAGAGGTATCATAAAACTTTGTGTTAATTCTAAAAGATGACGCCGGAGAAGAGCTGTTTGTACATGTTCTGGTCTTTTAGTTTTTAAGCCAAGCATAACTTTTTTAATTAGAGTTTTATCTTTCTTTAAAAATGGCTTATATTTTGTATATAAACCATGTGTTGATCCTTCACTGCTGCTGTTTGCGAGGCCTGCGGAAGACGAGGCAGTCGATTGTATAGTATTGTTCATTTTAAGAGGTCCTGTATTGGTGAGTGACGTTACAGAGCTGGCGTTTCGGGCATTCTTTAATGCCAACTGCTGTTGTTTTTGTATGTTGAGCTGAAAGGAATTAGTTTAAATTTTGTTTAATAAATAATTATACAATAATTTAAAATTATTCGAAAAATAGTTTTTTTTTCAGAAACTATTGCATTTTCTATTTGTTTAATAGATTATTTATTTTGATATTTCTTTTATCTCTTAAATAAACTTTAAACACACATATTTATGTACAGTGTCTCTCATAATTATTCGAATTTGGGTAAACTATAAAAAGAAACCAAATTTAATAATATATTTTGTGTGCAAAATAAATAAATTAATTTGTTATATTGTCTAGATAGTCCTTATGTTTGATATCACGCTTTTTAAAACTTGAAAAATTTGCATTGATTTAAATTAATTGTGCTTTTTTAAAAAAAAGTCCATAAAATTGCCTCATAAAAGTATACGAATTTTTCCTGTATTTCATATTTGATCATATTATACGCAACACAAATTTTAGAATCGAATGGTTTTTATGCGTAATATTGTTTTAAGGGGTTACTATCCACGGAAAGGATATATTTTTGGCCCATTTGGTCCACAATTTTGCGGAATTTGTACCCTCTTTTCATGTAATATCATTAAAATAGCGATTTTTGGCCATAATTGTAAATTTTTCTCCTTTTTTCCAGAGATAAAACAAAAATTTGATATTGGGACTTAAAAGACCCTTTGGGGTATCTAAAAATAATATCTTTTGTTACAAGAATCTGTATTTAAACGTTCCAAGATAAATTATTCGGATCATTCTTCTTTCGCTAATTCAATATATTGGAACTTAAGTCCATTTTTATAATACTAGGATCAACTATTTTCGGGAAAAGTTTTCTGGTATATATTCTTTTAGATATCAGCTTTTATACATTTTAAGTTTTCAATGTGTTGTGAAAGTGTACAACTCCAAAACATGCCTCGAAGAAACACCATTCAAAATAGTAAAATCATTATTTTTATATACCACTGGACTCCATGCTGCATGGCACGATATCATTATGATCACATCAAAAATGTTGATATGTGTTTAAATATTATTTACTATGATCAAATTGAAACCAAAATTTAGGACTTACAGTGTTATTGTAACGGGCAACATAAGCGTGAAAGTTACGAGTAGTAAAAACTGAAATCTACTATATAGGATGACGTTTTGTTAAGGCATGTTTTGGGGTTGTATACCGCTATAATATATTGAAAATTTAAAATACATTAGTGCCAATATGTACATGAATATACACTAGACAACTTTGTCGAAAAATATCGTCCCTAGAGAAACGAAAAGGGACTTATGATCCAGATAATTCAATTAGAAACTGAAAAACGATACCAAAAATACATCTTGGAACGTTTAAGTACAGATCCTTATAACAAAAAATATTATTTTTAGATACCCTATGGGTTCTATTAAATTCCAATATTAAATTTTAGTTTTATTTCTGGAAAAAGGGTGAAAACATTACAAATATAGCCAAAAATGAAAAGAGGGTACAAATCCCCCAAAATTGTGGACCAAATGGGTCAAAAATATATCCATGCGGTTGATAGTAACCCCTTAAAGCCATATTAAGCATAAAACCATGCGATTCTAAAATTTGTGTATCGTATAATATGATCAAATATGAAATACAGGAAAAATTCGCATACTTTTGTGAAGTAGTTTCATGGACTTTTTTTTAAAAAAGCACAACTAATTTAAGTAAATGTAAAGTTTCCAATTTTTAAGGGGCGTGATATCAAAACTAAGGACTATCTAGACAATATAACAAATTTATTTATTTATTTTCCACACAAAATATATTATTAAATTTGGTTTCTTTTCATAGTTTACATAAATTCGAATACTTATGAGAGACACTGTATATGGCTTCTTAAAACTACATTAGCAATAAATCTCCGTACCTGATTATCCACCAAACGCAGCATATGCGGCCAATCTTTCAATAGTTTTATAAAAAATGGATTAGTTACACCAAGTATCAAAGGAGGCGGTACTTTTCCACATTCTCGTGTAAATTCTTTAAATTCGCTATCATGTATAGTAAAATAGGGTCTAGCTTCGGCACAATATTCCAGCGGAGCAATTAATGCTACCAAAGTCTGCACCATATGTGAACAATCAGCCGGTGAAGTACCCACTACCACAATAGGCTCAGCAGTTAAAACCAATTCCCACAATGTATACATATGATCAATGATAAAACTTAAACTATGAAATAATTCTACTTCGTTCACCGAAGCAATAACTTTAACCGAAATTGGTTTATACATGGCCGTCTTATCGGGACAGCTGTTTTCTGGACTGTCATTGTGAGAGGAGGTTTTACGGCTACTTGCCCGGGGTATTAGAATTTGATAACACTGTTCGAAGAGCGGCAAATTATAGGTGACACCCACCTGTAGCGCAGGCCATTCGGTATTGATTTGTCGGCAGGCCTGTTTTAATATTTCTTCACCTTCGCTAAAATACTTTTGAGCCAATAGGCTTAACATTTCATAGTAGAGATTAAAGAATGGCAGACGGGTGACAATAATAAAACTTTTTTGAAAATAGCCTCGAGGTAAGTTGGGATCCCGTTTTTGGCGAAAATAAACAAAACCCCAATAATGAGATTGGTCAGCTTTCAAAGCAGGCGGACAATCGCTGTTAAAACAACGAAACTGATTGGTCGTAGCCATCCTGCCCGTGTCCGGAGACATTCTTAGACGCATATGAAATTTGGTATCACCCATGCAACCAGAATTAGAATCAGGAAATGCCATATAACAGATATTAGTAACTTCTTGTTCTGTTGGTATGAACTCTGTGGGATAAACAAATTCCAAAGCCTGGCCCAAATTTAAATCAAACGTTACTATGCACATGCATTGTATCCACTGAGATAAACGTGACCAATCTGTCGAAGTTACACCATTCGGTGACGCCTCCATATCATCCAAATTGAGCAAAGACACTGCAGGAGATTTTCTTATCACCTTTGCTATATTCTCATCTAGAGCATTATCATTTCTGGTATTATTGCCGTTTGATTGCATTCTCCTTTGATCGCCAGTACTATCCATTTGTTTATCCATATTGTAAATTTGATATTAAAGTATTTTTTTAATGTTTTGATGTAAAATAAACTTTCCCTTTTCATTCACAAATTGTTAATTAACGTACGAAAAAAACATTTTGCTATCGATGAAGCAATGAACAAAACAAAATAAAATAACAAATGACAAGATAATATAAGGTAGCCAGATTTGAAAGAATGTATGAAAAATATTAACACTAAATTATTGAAAAAATATACATATATAAAAATGTATTGATTGTTTTGCTTCGTTTATGTTTCAATTATTTATAAATTGCATAAACAATATGAAAACAGTTTTTTACAATAATATTCGTCGGATATGTTCAGCATCCGGCAACACTTCTATGCTATCATAGTTTTTTTTTTGAAAATGTCAACAGACGTGTACAAAAAGCAAAGTGAGTGAAGTCAAAAAGAGAAAAAACCAATTTGTTGGCAAATTGTTATTTGATTTTGTTTTTCTTTGTAAAATTAATATAATACAATTATTAATAAAACAAGTCGTGAACATTAACGAAACCCTCAATGGATTTTCTAAAAAGTGGCATTAAAACTGTGCTGGGTGCCACGGAACCGGGTCAGCAACCCAGCCCTGCAGAAACAGTAGAAAAACTGGTAGATAGAGCAGCCTCTTCAACTTTATTGGAAGATAGACGTGATGCTTGTCGTGCTTTAAAAGCTCTTTCAAGAAAATATCGGATAGAGGTGGGTGCCCAGGGAATGCCAGCATTGGTGTCAGTGCTGCAAAATGACTGTCAAGATTGTGAAATAATATCGTACGCCTTGGATACTCTATGTAATGTAGTGGCCACTGAGGAATTTGATGAAGAGGCCGATAATCCAGCGGTATCGGTTAATGTAGGTGAACAATTTACCGAGATGTTCATAAAGAATCCCGAACATGTATCATTGGTTATGGGCTATTTGGAGGAATATGATTTTCGTGTCAGACGTACCGCCATACAACTTTTAACAACCTTGATACAGAACAAGACCAGAGATTTACAGGAACATATACTAGTAAGTCCCATGGGTGTTTCAAAGTTAATGGATTTGTTGTCGGATAGTAGAGAAGTTATACGTAACGATGCCTTACTCCTACTTATCCAGTTGACTAAAGGTAATTCCAATATCCAAAAGATAGTCGCCTTTGAAAATGCCTTCGATAAGATATTCGACATTATACGTGATGAAGGCCGTGCAGAAGGTGGTATAGTGGTTGAAGACTGTTTGATTCTACTATTAAATTTGCTTAAGAACAACTCCAGTAATCAGCAGTTCTTCAAGGAAGGCTCTTATATACAACGTTTAGCTCCCATGTTTGAGTTAACTAATAGAGAGGTGGAGGGAGAACAGGGTTGGGCACCACAAAAAATGTCAAACGTTCATTGTATGTTACAAGTAGTGAGGTCATTAGTCACACCCAGTAATCAGCAACAAGTGGTGGCATCATGTCAGAAGGCTATGAAACAGTCAAAGCTTTTGGAAGCTTTGTGTGAGATTCTAATGGGTAGTGGTGTGCCCGCTGATATTCTAACAGAAACTATTAATGCTGTAGCTGAAGTGGTTAGAGGTGATGCGGATAATCAAGATCAGCTTAGTAAAGTTATGGCGCCTAGCACACCTCCCAGGCCAGTTATTGTTGTGCTGCTAATGTCCATGATTAATGAGAAACAAATGTTGGCGTTACGTTGCTCCGTACTATATTCATTCCAATGTTATTTATATCGTAATTCCAGCGGTCAACAGGCTGTTGTCTCCACACTTTTACCTTCATCCGCTGCAGATGTTTCTAGTCTTTCAACAGGTCAACTTTTATGTACTGGTTTATTTTCCACCGACTCTTTAGCCAATTGGTTTTCTTCAGTGGCTTTGATGCATACTCTGGTAGACAATACTGCCCAAAAGGAGGAATTACTGCGAGTGCTGTTGGCTACGCCTGGTGGTCATAAACCCATAACTTTACTAGAACAATGTACAAATCTCTTACAACAAGAATCTTACAAATTGCAAAGTAAAGTTGGTCTTTTAATGCTGTTAAGCATGTGGTTGGCTCATTGTCCAACTGCTGTGAAGACTTTGTTGCAATCTCAGGGTACTATGGCTTATTTAACCGCTCAGATAAGTGGTAATGAACATGATGAAAATGAATATTTGGTACAGGGTTTGTGTGCTTTTCTTATGGGCCTTTGCATACAATTCAATGACAACAGTCTAGCTGGTCAGAAAAGGGATGAAATTTGCCAATTGATTATAAAGAGAATAGGGCAGGAAAATTTTTGCAATAAACTAAATGAGGTTTCACGTCATGAAGCCTATAGTAGAGCCTGCAAACAACCACAAATAAGAGCTAAATCTGCCAATGAACTCTTATTGGATTATGAGTACTGCAAACTTTTCAAAGGTCTTGAAGCTCTGGTAGTCAAACTAGTGACAGGTTTTGATGTTAATGGTGTAGAACTAACCGAACTTACATTGAGTTCTGAGGCCTCGGCTTTAGTAGCTCAATACAAAGGTATCATAAGAGGACTTGATACACAAATAACGTCTCTCCAGGATACGGTGAAAAAACTAGAGTTGAAAAGTGCTGATCAAGAACTGAAACTAAACGAACTGCAAACTCAAAATCATCAATTAACCGATCAAAATACCTTGTTAAAAGCTCAATTGTCTGCTTTAAAAAGTAACGATTCTTCCACAAACTCTTCTACACCCAATAATGAAAATAATCCCCATGCCACTTTAGAGGCCCTTAATGCTGCCCAGTTCCAAACAAATCTTTATTATACCGAAAATTTACGCCTAAATCAAGAACTTGAGACTATGCGCAAACGTTTACAAGAGGCCATTGAAGCGGCCAATTTAGCGAATGAAAACCATCATAAACTACAAAAAGATCAAGAAGATTTATTAGAATTACTAACAGATCAAGAAAATAAAATTCAACGCTATGCTGATCAAATGAGAGCAGCTGGTCTGCCTGTGGAAGATGACGATAATGACGACGATACCGAAGAACTTGTATCAGCTGATGTAAATGTCAATGTTCCAGAGCAGACAACAGTTGTAACAAATTCTATGGAAAATTCCAGTCCTTCACATATGCAAAATATTTAAATATATTAATTACATTATTAAATATAGAAAACTTTCTAATGTGCATGTTTTTGTTTTGTAATAGAATTGAAGCCTGGCCTTGGATACATGATAATAACCTACGCATATACAGTTTGTGTGTTAAAGTTAAATGTGTTTTAAATGTAACGAAAATAAAAAAATGATAATTTTAAGTACCTATATAAAATATAATAAAAATATTATAATTATTACATATAATTATTTAAAAAGGTATAATTTCTTCTAATTTGTGAGTGATTAATAAAATGCACAAAAGAATGGTGTAGGTTAAATTGTTGGGAACCTCGAAAATGTACTCCATTCTGCTATGTATGTGTATAAATTTTTAAATTATTTTTAAGCTTTCGGTGTAATAAATTAGTCCCGTTTGGTATAATTTATGTGTGTAAAGAATCACTTTTGCCAGTTACAAACATTAGCACCAAAGTATAATAACATCTACACTAAAGTGTTGTAGGGTATACAACTTTAACGTTTAAATGTGTTTGAATTATAAAACGAAACGTTTAATAAATCTATTCCAAAATGGAAAGGTTGAACAATTTTGATCAATTTGTAATAGATTAAACCCTCTTCCTCAATTTCTGATTATTTTTTATCATTACTTTAACCGGCAGAATATTGCTCATTCAAATATTATTTAGTATACAGCTGAATAATTTATATGCATATATACTTTTCGTACCATTGAATTGATTGCTAACATAATTTTTTATAGTAATGTATTCATTTGAATGATCATTATTAGATTCCTTCTATTACAAATTGAATAAAGTTATCATTTGAAAAAAATGATAATCTATTTCAAATTGAATGGTTTAATTCATTGGCTCCCACTAGATTATTTCCAGAGAAAAGTAATTTTTATAGGAATGAAAAATATATTTTTAATCCAATAAAATAAGTTTCTGAATTAATACAGAATTTAGTTATTAGAATTTTAATTATGTATCGGAAATTAGTTCTAGCAATTGAATCTCAGGGAAATGGATAATTCAAGTAAAAATAAAAGTTAAGTAGGAAATTATTTTTCTACAATTCCTCCAAAACTTTCTATAAGATTCCATAACAAAAACAACAAATTTCTTTTTAAATAAAAAACAATATTTTTTATTTTCTGTTTACTTTTTCGTGTTTTGTTTTATTCACGAAACCATCTAAAAATTCCTCCTTATTTTTAAAAATAAACAATATGTTTAAATCTTGATGTTGTTTTTATTTACTTCTTGTCGCTAGAGATGGAGCTCTTTGATTCGCGCATGGAAGCGGAACGACGTCTCTTGGCCTCTTCGCGCTTGGCTTTGTTTTCCTTCTTGCGTTGAGCCAACAATTTAGCGTAATCAGCAGCAGCTTCCTTGGAGGCTACTTGACGTTTCTTCTTGAGGGCAACACGTCTGCGTTTACGTTGCAAGACAACGGGGGTGACGAGACGTTGGATCTTGGGAGCCTTGGAGGTGGCCTTCTTGCCATCCTTAGCGGGGAGAGGGCGACGTACAACGAAGCGACGAACATCGTCTTCCTTGGTCAAGTTGTACAACTTGCGGATCTTGCTGGCTCTCTTGGGACCCAAACGACGGGGAACAGTAACGTCGGTAAGACCTTCAACTTCTTGTTCGCCCTTCTTGACAACAACCAAAGCCAAAACGGACATGTTGGCATCGACAATGCAGCCACGGACTGATTTCCTCTTACGTTCACCAGTACGGCGAGGACGGTAGCAGGAGTGTCCCTTCTTCAACAACAAACGTACACGACCTAAACAATACAAACATTTAAAAACAAATCAGTTCCAAGGGAATCTTTATAAATCAATTAGTTGTTTAAGAACTTACCATGAGTCAAGACACCTTGTTTCATGGGGAAACCTTGTTTGTCGTTACCTCCGGCAATACGAAGCATATAACCTTTCCATTGGTCACCGAGGATGTCGGCTTCGACAACTTGGCCCATACGTTTTTCATAGAACACACGCAATTTGTGTTCGTCAACAACTTCGAAAAGTTTTTGGCATCCCGTTACGGGATATGAAATGTTAAGCTGTAATTAGAATAAAACATCACCATGTAAATAAAACTGTTTCCACAATAACTGATTAATTCGATTGCTAGTCACTAGAACACAATATACGAGTAGAGGTTAGTGTACAACAAATTGTAATCGAGCTTAATTTCATCAATCACGCGAAAATTACGCACAATTTTTTTAAATTTCGACAATTAAGCATACTCATTAGGTTTTTAGACATTTATTTCAGAGTTTTAACACGAATTTTCACATATTTTTCAAAAAAAATTACACACCTTCATTTTTAATGTCTGATTTGGAGGAACACCAAACTAAAAGGAGTAGGCAAGATGTCAAAAGAGACAGATGAGAGATGGCGATAGGGCGTTTTTACACAATTGTCGTTTTTTGACAGCTGTGGCGTAGTTACACTACACAGTGTTGCAACTCGAAAAAACGCTTATATATCGAAGTGATTGTTTTGTTTGAATAGGATAGTTTAATAAATTTATAAATATATTTAAATTTTATACATATTTGAAGATTTTAATTAGTTTTCTCATTTTTGCTATTATATGAATGTCATGTGGCATTAATAATCGGAATTTTTGGCTGCTTACAGTTTTATTAAGCTTTTGAAACGGAAAAAAATCATCGATAGTGGATGTAAGGGAAATATATCTTGTTTGGCATTAAAAATGGGCTTAAATAACGAAAAAAGTCGAGTAATATAAATGGACGGAATAAGTTGCCACAAAATTATTTGTAGCAACATTGTTTTAACAAAGCGAAGTATAATTGAAATAGAAGAAGATTTCAAGCATGAAATTTACATAGAAGTTTACTGCCAAATTCGACACGAAGTTTTTAGTTAAGGTCATGGAAAAACATATATGAGCCATATATGTATAATATTATGCTTCTATGTTAATTATTATATAAATTCAAAGATCACGTATTCATGAATAAATTGTTAATAAATATGTAAAATGATGAAAAAGTGGAAGGTGTATTTCCCTTTGTCTTCAAAAAACTCACTTTTTCGATGATTAAAATTAGTTGGTAAAATATTTAAATCTAATCCGAATTGGCTGAATGAATTTAGATAAAATTAAATAATGCATTTTTCCCAATTTTGGAAATGTTTTCTCATTATTGTAGTAATAAATTTTTATATCAGAGTAGGAACCCATATTTGAATTTTCAGAATTTGTATAATAACTCGTGTAGGGTAAAATATGGTTAGACTGATTATAGTTTTTTAAATGGATTTAAAATGAAAAAACTTTTTAAATTAACTTTGTTTAACGCACATTTGTTAAAATAACTACTATTAAAAGCAACGCTGAAAAGGTTATTTAAAATATATACAAAAGCTACTTGCTGTACCTTTAAATGTCAAAATATACAAATCAAAACAACAACACGTGGGTCTTTTCAACAAAAACGAAATAATTTAATTTTTCAGCAGAAAATATAGAATATATTTTAATTAAATATGGGTAAACCAAAAAAATCGAATATAGCACCGGCAAAAAATGTCTCCCTGGAGAAACAATTAACAGAAGGTAAAGTGGCCAAACAAAAGAACAGAAATAAAGTACACATTCGTGCAGAGGAATCATCGGTGGGTATTAATACAATTTTGTGGAAATGGAGTATTGTCTAATTCTAAAATGTTTTATAGGTTTTGGATAGTAAAACAAGTAAAAAAATCTTAGAAGCAGCCAAGCAACAACAATTGGAACTGAATGATGATAATTTTCCCAGTTTAGCACCAAAGAAAAAAGTTAATTTTGATTTGGGTAAGTTGGAACAATGGAGCAATTTTACAAATTGACTAAGTTTATTAGAATCATTGTATTTATTATGTTTATTCCTTTCTTCAAATAGGTGACATTAATGAGGAAGATGAAAATGTTAATGTTAATGAACAGGATTTCATGGATGATTTGGAAATCGGCGAAGAAGATGCCAAAGCCTTTGAACGTTTCCAAAATCCAGATGGTGGCAAGCGTACCCTTAAATTGGCTGAAATGATTATGAGTAAAATACAAGAAAAACAGGCTGACATACAAACAAAACTTTCTGATGAAGGTTCATTGAAACTCGAAGATCTCGATCCACGTGTAAAGGAAATGTATGAGGGAGTTAGAGATGTCATGAAACGTTATCGTAGTGGTAAAGTTCCAAAAGCTTTTAAAATTATACCCAAATTGCGTAATTGGGAGCAGATTTTATTCATAACAGAACCACACAACTGGAGCGCTGCTGCCATGTTCCAGGGAGCAAGGTAGTGCTAATTATTATAACGCTAATCTTATTGCTAACAGAATTTTCTTTTAGAATTTTCTCTTCCGTTTTATCACAAGCTATGGCTCAACGTTTCTACAATCTAGTTTTATTACCTCGTATACGTGATGATTTGGCTGAATACAAAAAGCTAAATATGCATTTGTATAATGCTTTAAAAAGGGCTCTCTTCAAACCGGCTGCCTTTATGAAGGGTATTATCTTACCTTTGCTCGAGGCTGGTGATTGTACTCTACGTGAAGCTATTATTTTCGGCAGTGTTATTGCTCGTAATTCTATACCAGTTCTACACTCTTCCGCTTGTCTTTTGAAAATCTGTGAAATGGGTTATACTGGTGCTAATTCTATTTTTATACGTTACTTCTTGGATAAACGTTATGCTTTGCCATATCGTGTAGTTGATGCTGCAGTTTTCCACTTTTTGAGGTGGGTGCATAAACTGCATTTCTCTCTTTTTTCTTTACTAACTAAAATTTAACTTTTTCTTTTTTTTAGATTTGAGAATGATAAACGTGAAATGCCCGTTTTATGGCATCAAAGTTTATTGACATTTGTTCAACGCTATAAAAATGATATTTCATCGGAACAGAAAGAAGCTTTAATTGCATTGTTAAGGTAAGTTTTATTTGGTGATGAGAAGAAATTCTTTAAATTTTTAGTGAAATAATTAGGGTAGTTATAGTGGACAATTCAGTTCGATATTAAATTTGAAATTGGTCCAATTTTAAATTGAAACAAACTACAAAGTTCTCGATCGTGTTATTAAGTAATTGGCCGAAAATGCGGGTATTTTTTCACCAACTTTTTTTCATAGCCCAATAGAGGGTTATGTGTA